ACTCCTCATTTTGTGCACGTAATCTGTAAAGCTTTATTTCAAAATGCCTGACCTCCCAACCAAGGACCACGCCAGATATCCAAAACAAGCTATTTCTCAGGTTAATTTTAAGTCCGAAAGTGAATTAGAACAAGAAGAATAACATTTCCTGCAGTGAACAATCAAAGTTCTTGGCTACACACACGTCTGTCCCCAAGACCAAGATAAATGAAAACAAATCTGGTGTGGGATGAAAATGCGCGTCAAATGCCAGAACGCGAAGTCCAATGTTTACGAACTGTGTAGAGTTTGTTTTCGCAACTCAGTCTATACGGTGACTTAGTATTTTCTGTCGGGGTTCACATTCTGAAAAGAACTCTACAGTTGGCGTGTTACATATCTTCCCAGCTGTTGAAGCGATTATCAGGCGTAGTGTGACGCCACTAAAGAGAAGCACGTGGCAAGAAAACTCCTGTTCTGATGATGACAAAAAAGATAATTTCAGTTTAAACTTCTGAAGAAAATCAGACAATACGAAAAGACAACAATAAAAGTTACTATATGATATGGCTTAGAAGTGTGGCATTTTAAAAACTAACCAAATAAACTGTAGACAGTGAAAACCGATTATTGCAGACTATCAGCAAGAGTATCAAAGGACGATAAATCCCGTACCACAAAATTCGAGAAAAAAAACGGGTTTGAAAAATTATATTACAGATGATTTTTAAACAAATACATAGTATGGACACTACTGAACTACGGACTATTGAAGCAGTGACAGAAACGTTTTATGTTCCATATTAACGAATATACAAGCTTTTGAGCTTACAAACATGACGGTACCTGTTACATTCCCTACGCATTAAATCAACCTATCAAAATCAAGTCTCCGTAAAAATTGTTCAATATAAACTTGATCTTGTAGTGAATCAGTAAAAACAACTAGAGTAGCAGCTCTACGGTTTTGTAACCTTTTCAGGCGACTTCATACGCCCCCGGAGGAACAGAAAATTGCATTTGGAATCATTTATCCTCATACGCAAGTCGTAAACAAGGCCAGTCAAAGTGGGGTTGGAGGTTTTCACAGCGGTGAGTCTATCTGGGTAGTTGCGCCGTGTAGTCTGGTAGAAGTTTACCGACGTTTCAGACATGCCTGCTGCCTCCGTAATCAAGGCAGTGGTCAGTAAAATAAATGTTGTTTCCCTATTGCCTTACGCGCAAGAATATACAGCACACATGAGAAACTATAACCACGTATCCAAATGCATAACATACTACGCACACTTAACGGGCTTCGCTAGGCAGGCATCAGGCTTGATGACCAGTAAACAGACTCTGGGTAGTAAATTTTCATTTTCTCCAGCTGTATCTCATGCTCTACTCAACGTGAGCATGTCACGCTACAATAATCGATTGCACACGTAGTGTGACCTACATATGGGAAGAGGAGATACCACCAATAACTGGCCCATACCCTTCTGCTTGTAAACATAGAATTCACACAAAAGGAATACGAGGATTTATCTTTGTTTCTAATATGTAACCGTAGTGTGTAGGTGTGTAAGAGCGAGCAAAACAAGGAGACTGATAGATGGAAAGGTGGAAATAAAAACAAGGAAGAGAGAAAAAATTGAAATGCAGACGTTTCCAAACATGTTCTAACCACAAAAGCTCTACAGTAGGCCTACAAGATCAATGTTCAACGCCTTCGAATGTTTGTTACGCAGTCTGCACAACAATCATTGTATAGGCGTTCTTTCTTCTTCCTTCATCCCATACCTTGTTTCAAAAATCAATTTCTGAACGTGATTCTATTCCATTACAACCAATGCTGTACAAAACCCAGCACGCAACTGGCTCTTCTACGGTTAATGCACAGAACGGAATGCGATAGTACTATATTTACATGCCAAGCGCTTGAAATAAGAATGGCACATAAAACTTTCGAAGGCAATGCATACTCGCTCTGCATAAAACCGTTTCAATTCGAATGCCATTCTTTGCCTCACTTCTACTTATTTTTTAAGAAATAGCAAGTGAGACAATAAACAAAAAATGTGATGATAAACCTTCCGTTAATCAAGAATTATGATTTTCATATTTAGTTCTGAATAACTGATCAAAATACCCGCAAATAGGGAGTAACTTCGTACTAGAAGAAAGCTTTCATACTTCCGGTCGACACCAATCCAAATCCTTAGAGACTACTTCATGTACGGACTTCAGGAAAGCAATCTGTGGAGATATAAATTGCTCATATCCGCCATGTTTAATAATTCAGATGGTTTAACTGCATAGCGAACAATTTCTCTGAACCCATACAGAATACAGGTTCACTGCTTTCCCCCAAGGAATAATGTGAAATTAATAACCCCTAAACAACAGTTTGCGATACACAAAGGCTTTGTGTTTCTCATAGTAAATGTTGTCCCTGCTGCTACGCACTTCCACAGTGTTACCTGCTCAAGTTTGCGTTTAGTTAACACAGAGGCTTTCATCTCAAGAGCAAAATGCCACGGACGAACTGATAAGGCACACCAAACACCCTCCAGGAAAACTGATTCATGCTTCAAACTATCCTGAGCTTCATTTAATATTTGCTTCAGGTAACTTAGCACAAATTTTTACTTCAGGTGCGGCAATAGTCGATTCCTTACGCCACAATTACGCGAAAATATTTCACCAAACCTCAGCCAATAAAAATTAACAATAACAAATAGAACCACGTAAAAATATATTCCAATATGACGACCGGTCGAAAAAAGCTTTTAGAGCCAACTTCCGAAACGTCGTGTATAATATCTAGTTTAGCTTAGCTCGTGCAGTATCTGAGTCAGGAGATTTTTTTGTAGACAAGAATATCAGAAATGGTTATTTCTTACATTGGTAAAAAATGTTTGCTCTTCGTATGAAAGTGATAAATGATTAACTATTAGGCTCCGCGTATGACGTGATATTCAGTGTAGTGAGTGATCGATTATGGATATTAACAGACATTTCAGTATGCTGAAAAATAAGAAAACAGCAAAGGCGTTGGAATATGTTTGACAAATTACAGACGCACATGGTAAGTGTCGTATCTTGTTTCGCAGATTCCGGTTTAAGTCATTTCCATGATCCACTCAACTAAGTCCATGCCTTTCCCAAGCAAAATTTTGTATGAATTTTTCATCTGTATGTGTGCTATATGCCCCCACCACCCAAAATGTACAACACATTCAAAGACTTTCCGTCAACAAGTATTGTAGTACTGTATGAATATTTCGTAATTTGTAAAGTTTATGAGATGAGTTCTGGAACTGAAAGTTAACATGCACATATTCCCTGGATTCACTGATGACGTATTTCTCTAATTACCTACTTCGTTAAAATTCCTGAATCACGAACTACCAATCATGGAATATGTGGTAATGAGTCTCCTAGATACACAGCTACACCACGTGACATGACCACATTTGAGCCACTACAGGAAGGGTGATAGCTGCAGCTTGTAGTTGCTTCAGTCGTCTCACATAACAACCTCAGTTCTAAGCACCAATTAGCAACATACTTAATGTAAGCAATAATCCACTTTCATGACGTAAACAACTTGAGATATTTCCACATTGCGACCGTGTACATTATATGCCACTATATGACAATCGACAAACGTCAGCCAGCCAAGCGACAGGCTCAAGCTCTTTTTATTTCAGTTTAAAACCAACGTAAATATTAATACGCTGTAACGAATATATCCCTCCGCCCAGACCTGTGTACTTACGTAACTACATACCAATCAATATATAAATGTTCCAAATATGAAAATGTGATGGTAGCTGACGGATTGTTTGTCGTGAATGAATACTACATTCTGGTATGCATGATGGCTAGCAGCGGGAGAGGTCGCTACTTACAAAACGAGAAAGGTGTTGACATCGGGATTAATAAATGCTACACGGCTGTGCAATGGGGCAACGGGAGGACAGTGAGGGATCGAATTAAATGGGGCACTGACAACCAGGAATAAAAGCCAATTATCAGACGCAAGCCAAGCCAGGACACGTGATATCTGGACTGTAACGTGTCAACAAATCTAAATCACAGCAGTACCCGACCGAGTGAGGAGGTAAAGCGGTTCTAGTCAGGGAGGTAATTAACTCCATGGAACAATTAACAAAAGCCTCAATTACTCAAGAAATTTCCCGCTACTTATGGAACCCGAAGGTTCAATACCGTGTTCACAATCGCCTTCCATCGGTCCCTGTCCTGAGCCAGATAAATTCAATCCACACACCTTACACCTTTTCGACAACAAACTCAACCTCGCAAAAGAGAGGCTCGGGTATTTATGGCTGTGCTGTACGTATTTCAGTCTAAATTATAACGTTATCCCGATGTACAATTATTTCATTTTTTACCGCGTTACTTCCACATTCGTAACCTCCTTAAATTCATGTATGCCTCCGTACAGATCTGTAGTATTTCTGTTCTTAGTCTGTTTCAACAGCACAAATTCTATCTTCCATGCATTTCCTTCTTTTGGACTTGTCAGTTCTACTAGTGTTATGTCTTACATTGTCCAGTTATCTCCACTAGGCTTGGATTCTGGAACCACTACAACGAAACCTTCTTCCTTTTAACTAATAATCTTAAACATTCTTCGTCCAAATCAATGTTTACGGTGTTTTAAATCGTAATGACGAAGACTCTCTGGCTGAAATTGTTATATTCTCTACAATATTTTGCCAAATTCCATTTATGTCGACATGAACAACCAAGTTTGCCAAATCTGCAAACTTATTTTAAATTCCGACATGAAACTTGTTAACTTCTGCATATTTTTGCTTCTTAATATAAAATATGTGCATACCAAACTTTCGTGATGCCCGCGTACTTCATAATAAATCTGCGTCTCTTCCATCAAAAGAAATACCAGGGTATTTTTCCTCCCTTTCCATCCCAACTGTTGGCTCGAAAATTCTCTTCCTTCTCCAAGCCTGACCTTAAATATTCTAGTAAAACGTTTATGTGGTACTTACCGAAATGACCACTTGCATGCTCTAGTTCTCTATATAAGTTGTCCTTTGTATAAACACAATTTACTTTCACTCGGCCCATGCACATTCAGAATAATGTCACATAAACTTTCCTTAATGACCTGTACCTACAGTGACACGAACGATGTAAGCCACGTTTTGGATGCTTCTGCGCATCTACAGTCACGTGACCTCGTGAGTCACACAACTTCAATGAACTGATGTGCGTATTGCTTCGTTACTTCAAGGTGAAAGCAGCAGCCATTTGAATATTTCTCTCTCTCTCGCTGCGCCATTCGCCTTCGTTCCAGTCACTTATCAAATTCTGCCCTCTGGATCGCTTATAACATACTTCCCAAACTTTTTCCTTCATTACCCAAAATCTCTTATCTGAAAGTTCTTTTTACCCAATGTAGGTAAAACACTAACCGTACAGAAAACGCATGACAAGTGAAGAGAGATCGGTAAAAAATAGGAAGCAAACAATATGTTTGATGAAATGTCTTTATTTTAAACATCTCTGAACATTTTGGCAGCCACAAAAAAATTGGTAATTATTCACCATGAATATTTCACCACCCAGGTCCCAGCTAATGAGTACAATGCCACTGCTCCATCTTATTTACTAGTTTCATAAAATTGGGAGCAATTGGAGACACCGCACACCTCACATCGTATTCGGGGTTCAGCAAACAGTTTCGTTTTGTGTTTTTATGAAGGCAAGAGTGGAAAATCCTACTTCACACATGTGGGTGTAATGTGTATTCCGAGGTGTGTCGTTAACCAAAGAAAAACCACTTTTACCCATTTTTGGGTAATTTACCCAGGTTTGGGAAGTACTGGCTTATACGATTCGCTAAAGTATGAAGAACTCCATCACGAAGTGATGATCAACATTCCGAATTCCACAGAATTGTCTGCTGGTTCAGTGTCAGTTTTGTCCCGTCTTACCTCCTTTACTCCCACTAAATCTTTCATTCTACCAATTATATTGATACCGGTCTGCAGAAACACCTGACATCCCTAGTTCCAAATTTCATGTCCATTTCCCGCTGTAGAGATCTTTCCGGGAGATAACTTGTCCAAATGTCAACAGGCTGCCCATTACCCTGAGGGTGTTAGAGATTTCTTCTCATTTTATCATCACTTCATTCTAAGCGACGGCATCTCGATGCTCCATTATTATTTCTAAAACTAAATGAGTCGTTCATCTAATCTGGTTATCGTACTGTTATTCTAAGGGTCCCTATAAGATTAGTCAAAGAGATTACGTATTTTAACACACTATAGACTTGCACCATAATTACAAGGTCAGTCTCTCAGGTTGATGTGTTTATGCTGCTAATGTAATCTGCAGGAGCACTCCAATCTTTAAAAACTGTTGTATTTCGGTAGCTCACATTTTTTCCATTCTAACCCTATTTTATTTTCCGGACGATTTAAGTCTTATTATGTACATCAAGACACTATTTTCGTGTTATATTATAAAAATACTGTTTCGCGTTGTTTATTCTCTGTGCTCTTTGTGTTACATACTTTTGTTGCCTTTCTAGTCTATTTCTTATTGCTTTTTATTGTAAATCAGTTTCATAAATGTGACGGTGTTTTAAATTCGTTGAGTATATTACGCCACTGTGATGGCACATGTAGACTAAAACCGACAATTTTACAACAGCGAAACCCCGGCATTTCTAGATATGGAAGACTATTTAATTTTAGATAATATAATAATCACAGCATGCAAAAAACGTGGATTTCGCGTAGAAGTCCAGAATAAATCTCAATTTGGAGTTTCAGGTTCCAGTATTTTGAAAGAACGTGGTTTCATAAAGATTACATGATTTTTAAATTTGATCGGAAAATGAGCGGCTTTATCACGCATGAAACTACAAAATATTACGAACTGTTAGTCCACAGTTTGTGACCATACATAAAGCTAACAGAGATGTAATGTATACTTAAAACCCCTGTTTTTTCAAATGACTGCCATTAACATTGCATTACATTACTTGTCAGGTACTTGGCTGGAAACGAGGACCGTTCCTGATGTGCACCACAACGGTAACGATGCGTTAATTTAACGAACCAGTCAGAACATCGCACTGAGGTGATCGCACGGATGTAAACTGCACGACTGCTGCCTGCCATTTACATATGATGAAAAAGGAAAGCGTGTGTAGGAAGACAAGTTATTTACACTAACGAGTGGTCGTTGCGATTCTGAAGGCTTGAGTGCGTTGTGAAAACATTGAGTACTATATTGTAGAATAATTTGACAAATGGTTGGAGTATCATTGGAATATTACCAACTCACCGATCAGCAGCTGTAAGAACGTGACACGGAAGAATCTGATATATGACTCGAGAAGACAAACATCGAAACGTCATGACAGAAGATGAACCAGGTCACTCCAGGGAAAGGTAAGTTAGGTAGAATTTTATATTTTATGGTCATAACAGATAAGACGATAGAGTAACGTAAACATTTAAATAATACAAGTTTAACTCAGAATACAGAATCAAAATAATGCCGATGGAAGTAGTTTGTAATATACTACGTCTCTAGCCTCTCCAGACCCTTCACCAACCTAATCCCTCCAATTCAGGCTGTGAATGCAACTAACGAGTTCGTGTCTGCGGTATTGTATGCAAATCATCGCCACACAAATCCAACCTCCCTCTGACGCAGATTTGCGGCGCTTTGTGGAAGGTCATACTTCGTCTTTTGAGTGACCACTCTGTATTCATCGATCGAAACTCACGTCTGCAGCGCTATGTCCAGACAACACTCCATACGAAATTAAAACCTCGAACTCTGAACTCTTAAACGATCGGCTTAAAAGTCTCTCAACGGTTGCAATCGATAAGCAAGTACGTTTATTTTACACACGATTCGACTCTACTCCGACAAATTGTAAAATTCTTACTTCATAGTAAGTGTAACGTAGCGTGGAATGGAGACTCTAACAATGTTGGTGTTCTTCTGGGTTTTGAGGGCGTATAGACTCGTCGGAGAAACATAGTCTACGTCTTCAGGGCTGAAGAACATAATAATTACCACCACCGTGAAAACCTTGAATCTCTTACAATGTTGTTTACCGCCATAAAATATTGGCCCATCGATCACAATAACATTTACATTTACATGTATTTACAAGTTAGAACTATCATGAATAATTAATGGTGTAGGAATAGGTATAGGGAGGTTATCTATGGGCTATGTTACATCAAAAGCTTGTGCATAACACTTCGTAACTCCTTTATCCGACTCACGTGTATCGCAAATTGCAGTAATTGCTGTTGAGTGGGAATTTGTACCCACTAGTCTAGTTCTGAATTGCGGTTTGTGGTTTTCTCTGTGCACAGCTTTGATCTTTGTGTGATGTGAGAGAGCACAATAATCCACCGTATGATCGTAATATATGGTTTAATAGAAAAACAGTATACACATATATACAATGATACAGTTAATTTGTTAATTGATTCGTTAAAAATTTAGCCAACTTCTTTCTCGAGCCCTCGATTCCTGTGATCATACACATTTTCTAAATTTACAGAAATTCTGACAAAGAAGCCTGTTGCAAAACGGACAATAGGAAGTAACCGGAGAGAACTACGGAAACTAGGTTGTGAGGTGGTACAGAGGCGAAACTGGTTCAGAACCTTGTCCAATGGCAGGCTTTAGCATGTGTCGGTTCGTGTTTTTTCTAAACTATAAACGAACAGTGAATGGTACATTGCAGAGCAACAGGGCAAAGTAACATCGAAACATCGAAACCCCGACGTCTGTCTGGAGTCGCGTATTTTTTCTCGGTTTCTTCAGTTTATCAAAGCAAACTCTGAGCTAGAATTTTAAGACATGCCCCGACCGCTTCTTTCTACGTAATTTTAATTTGTTTTCATATAATAACCTCATAACAAAATTACTGTTGCTCTTAGCCGGCACCTTTCTTACATCTCATAGTTTTGAATAAATATTCAGATTTCAAATTTGGTCTTTTTATCATGGAAACCCGCTGTGTGTGTGAGCGCGTGCGAGCGTGCGAGTGTGTTTTGCCATTGAATTGTGTACTGTGCACAAGAATTTAATATGATGCACACTTTTGGTACGGAAGCAATATTTAATACTCTCCGTTACAATTATGAAATGATTACATGCACGCCATCAAATAAAATACACTGTCTCCCTTACACACAAGTCTACATCCGTCCGTTAAACAGAAACTGTGAAGTGGGAGCCGTTTCCACAGAGGGAAGAAGCACTGTACTGTAAGCCTTTGTCTGTTAACTGCAATGGTCAGACAATGAAAGCTGTAAATTTAAACCTATTATTTACGTTAAACTCTCATGTTAGTAGCAGCGGCAATGAGTTAAAGGGTTAAATTACAAACAGCAAATGCAGAGAAGTTAATTGAACAGCAGCTATCTTGTCCTTTTTCTGCCTCCCTGGATTAAAATTGAGACCGTTCTAGTATAAGACTTGTCCAACGGTTTTTTAACGAAGGTGTGTCATTACATTAGAGCATATTCTTAAACATTTTCCTTCATCTCTTAACTTAAAAAAAAAAACCTACGTCGTTTCGAAAACTGATTCTGGTTCCGTCATGAGGTAAAACCAGTCATCAATCTATTCAAAATTGTTTCCACATATCTCAATCCAGAATGCGGCACTAACTCACAGAACCCTGTCCACGCCGCACATTGGCAGAGATTAGTAAAGGCCTAATGCAATATCCACGTGGTTCCAACATGGTGAACATATTGCGGGGGTTGGAGACTCCTGAATTATGTTATCACATGAACATATGTCTAATGTACGTAACAGACAGCTATACATAAAATTTACTTACAGGAGATCTTCGAAAAATTATAAAATTACTCGTTAGACTCATTCATTACTTTATTGTCATTGCTGTTGATGGGGTGGGACTATGTTTGTGGAACTGGGCAGCTAATGGGCCCACTGTCCATCCCCCAGATCATACATAAGTAAGCATGAAGCAGCGATTGAATGATACTGACAGGGGTCAACCGAAGGACTCAGAAACCTACCCCAGTGCCACTTTTTCCGCCACAAATCCCCATGCGCAATTAAAAGTGCCTAAACTACAGGACTTATTTTGGTAGAATTCGGTAGCCTATGATATACATGCATTAAATTATGTTCAACCACTTTTCTTTTTGTTTAGCTTGGTTTATTTTAACAGCCACTTTACTTAAGGGTCTCATTTCTTAGATGAAGTAAATTACGTTTCTAGATACATTTTGATTAAACTTGATAAAATGCAATTCTATTAACCCATTCCTGTACTGACATGTGTTTAATTCACTTGAACTCGTTTGAGACCTACTGATTTGAATACCGTTACTGTGCAGTGCAGCCAGTATGCATCGAGTAACTATTTTTAAATAAATAAATGCTATGGCTTACGTATGGTTACATTCAGTGACGTAGATAAAATGGTAAAATAAGAACACAAATTTAGTGCCCGCCAGGAAAAGCGCATCAAAAGCACCTGCTATCGTTCTGCCATCTACCTTTAACAAGACATACCACGGGTTGCGAGGGAGGCTCATTCTGCATTAAACACACAACCAAATAAACACACAGACAGTAGACAAAGTCATATGAGTAAATCAACTGCGTCTTTCAATACCATCCCCAAGGGTGCACTCAGCCCTTCATGTTTCATTCACGTCCCTTCCTGTTTTTCAGTGCATAAACAGTTATTTTGACTTGGTAATGAATTGAGGCCAATGGAGGCACCACTGGGTTTCTTGTTATTACTGACATTTCATATTCATATTATAATGAATGAAAAAATACTGCAAGATGATTTCGTTCCCGTGGTGAGCCGAGGTACAAGATGTAGCAGAGATGCGTCAACTATTTTAAATAAATAATCCCATGCTTCATTATTTGTGTTAAAATATATATACGGAGTGTACAGCTTTAAGTAGTTTCCTCTCATTTTGCCTTTATCGCCAAATTGTTAAAATAATTATTATATTTACTGTAATAAAATTCATGTATTTACTGTTAACTGGTTAATTTGGCTGGACAGCTTTTATATCTATAACAGACTATGGCTAAATACAATTAAAAATAAAGCTGTCCCGCCATACGCCATGTAGGGTCTTGAGGGGTGGGGGGGGGGGATTCGCCCCTACTTATTCTTAACCTCGGCACTAGACAGGGATGAGGGATGAGAGTCAAGCCCCGGCCACTTTACACCCCCGGGAAAGGACCCCGGTACCCACTGGGCAGGAGGCTGGGTGGGACCCAGAGCCGGTCTTTTCTAATAATGCGCAATTACTGATACAACCCACAAAATTTAAGAGTTACTGATTACGAGGTTTAAATCCGGCACAATTATACCGGCTATATATCAATCAACAAAACAAACTAAATGTAAATACAGGATAACAACATATATCCTTTGGGCGTGTTAAGATAATACATTCCAAGGATTCAGTCAGCTTAAGGAGCGCGTAACCACTGTAACAAAGAACGAATAGCCAATTCACAATCCGTTGGACCCCACATTTGTGCAGCCCAAAGCAGTTCTTGCTTGTTGAACATGCAGAAACAGCATGATGCTTTTAGAACATGCTGTAGCAACGTAAATTTGAGTAACTGATATGAATACTCGTCAGTGACAACAAGAAGCCTATATAGGGCAGCCACGTCAAATGTAATTTGAGCTCTGAAAGAAGTCTGTGGGGGGCGGAAATGCTAACAAGTCTATTTACCTCCACACAATATACGAGTATATACGAGAATATAGTCGTAAAGTCGGAGAGACGAATGACATGATGTAAATTAAATATTGTCGGACGTGGTTCATTTTAGTTCATACTGCTTCATAAGAATACTTCGCACAAACTCTAAAAATATACATTTCACAGCATTAGTTATTAGTTCCTTATGGTACCGAACCGGATAACAAACAGACGAATCAAATATTAAAGCTATTGGCGGGGAACTTTGTGAAATGGACAGTAAGCCATGCACGAGGGAAATCTCACACGGCACATTCAGATTAACTTGTATGATTTTTTAAGAGTTACAAATAAATAAACCAATTGGTAACGCTTACAATAAACGATTTTGGATATTATATATATATAAACAACCATATTTTCGTAGACTACGTTCCAGTGAGTTAAATTTTATCGCAAGGTTTATAAAACACATTCAGAAATCTCGCTGCTTAATTAAGTGCACAGGTACATGCGACATGTCATGAAAATATCAAACTATAACTTAAATATTAAATAAAATAAATTAAACACTTAAACCTAAATTTTAACAGTGTCGTTCCTCCATACCAATGGGTACACTACCAAGTTTCTTGAATTCGATTTTGGTATTTCCTCCACATCAGGCATAACGACTGAAGCGACGTACCCACGGAAAG